TGGACCTCAGGACAACTAAAGACCTGATCACCTCTGAGGACCAGCCTAGACCTCAGGACAACTAAAGACCTGATCACCTCTGAGGACCAGCCTAGACCTCAGGACAACTAAAGACCCGGTCTTTTCAGAGAACCTGGCTGGTCAGAGATACTGATACGGACCTACAATCCCATGTGGTAGTAGTTGAGACTGATTCCCATACCTAGTTCTGAGCATGAACAGATTGGGCCTTAAACCATCTGCACTCAACACTTGCTGTCTGTTAGCAAAATATCTCAGACTTAGTGAAACAGTTTGACAGATCATGACTTGAAAAATGGCCGGACCCCTTCAGCATGCGGACCATGTGAGTTTGACGTCTTCTGCCTCAGCGTCTCAGCGTTCTGTCCACGCTCTGAGTGTCGGTCGCACCGAGCAGTGCTGCCAGTGTTGCTCCGGTGTTCGCAGGCACATCGCACGCTCCGTTTCCTCTGTTTGTTTCATTTGGTGTGTTTGTGAGCGTCAGCCTGTTCAAAGAGACGACTCGTGAGAGAAAGCCTCGCCGGCAGGCTGAGCCTCGCCGGTGCAGAGGTCCCTCTCAGACTGTCTAATGTGGTCTCTGTGGAACGGTTACTTTGGTTCTGGATCGGCTGACAGGCCTGACAGACTCAGATTCAGACCCGCTGCGAGTGCGTTGCGTTAACGTGTCAGGGAGTTGAATTAAGAGCTCGCCTGCTTCTTCTTTCTGCTGGGACTCAGAGTTCTTTAGATACAAACGTTTCTCGATCAAACGTTCCCTGACGAGCTGCCGTCGTTCGTGACCCGAGCCCGACTGAGCGTTCGATGAAATGACCCACAGAGACGCTGCTTTTCTCCGACGTCAAAAAGAAAACACCAGCGTCTGTCTTTGGGTGTGTGGTGCAGATGTGTAGCATCTGTCTGCTTACAAACACTGACCCGTACGTGACAGAAAATACATCGTGCAATCTGCTCACGTCTCTTTAACAGCACCGTTTAAATATTAAAATTAAAATATGAACGGATATCAGAAATGTGTTGGTTTAATAACAGGAGCCAGGAAACAGCCTGAACTGAGGCTTCTGTAGGTTAGAGCCTTCAGGGGGGAAGATTCCATCATCCATCCAACACCATCCATCATCCATTATCCATCCATCATCCATCCAACACCATCCATCATCCATTATCCATCCATCATCCATCCAACACCATCCATCATTCATCCATCATCCATCCATCATCCATCCACCGTCTATCCATCATCCATCCATCGTCCATCCAACACCATCCATCATCCATCCACCATCCATCCACCATCCATCCATCCACCGTCCATCATCCATCCA